ATTCCTGAGAGGTTGCAGAGGGCCAGCCGGGCGGCTACCTGAGGGGCTGCCAGGCGGAGGTGCACTCGGAGCCCAGCGGGGGGCGCCAGAGGGCAGGCAGCAGGGGGTGATGGGAAGTGTCAGGGTCAGGTGACCTCCCTGTCCTGCCCCAGCTCTGGGAGAGTGCCTCCTGCCCAGCCAGCTCTGCCCTGCTCCTCTCCTCCTACCTGACTGTCCCCCAGGGCCCCAGACAGCCTCACAGAGGGGGGCTGCCAAGCCCTACTCCCTCCCCACCCTGGGGTAGGGGGCTCTACCCAGACCACAGCTCTGTAGCCAGCCTCCCCCCTGATGCCCCCCAAAAAGAGAATTCCTCACTATTTGAGGCCCAGGCCTGGGTACAACATGCAGAAGATGCCCGACGTGGGCCAGTCCTGGCTCTTCCTGCAAACCCCACCACCACCCCACCCCACCCCCCGGGGGACAGTTCCTGAGTCACTGATGAGGTCATTCAAACCCATGCAACCCCGGCATGACCTCCACCCTGCAGTGGAATCCAGACTTCTGGTCACAGGGTCAGAGAGCCCTTGGGGGGCTCCCCTCTATTCCAGCCCCCTCCTGTCCTGTTCCTTCAGCTCCCAACCCAGTGTTTTCATCCTCCAGGCGAGGCTCTGAGCCACTTGGGCCGGGGAAAGAACCCAGAATGTTCCTCCTGAGGAAACATAGAGTCGCATCGGGCCAAGCTATTCCAGACCTGGACGGGAACAGGGGGCAGGGGGAGGTCTCTGGGGGCTTTAAGGAGCTGCCCAGGAAATGGTGAAGCACAGAGAGCGGGGCACAAACCTGAGGAGTCCAGCCCTGGCAAGGCCAGGGGAGGAGACCATGCTCAGCGTGTCTCAGCTGCCTCCTTCCTGGCTGGGAGCAGAGCTCAGGGCTCCTCCCCGGGTGGTTCGGTTTCTTTACATCCAGTGACAGGGTCTTGTTCTGAAGTGCTCAGTCCCACCCCCATGTTTACACTTCCGTCCATTGACTCACCTAAGACGTCTCTCCTAACCTTTCCACAAAGCCAAGCTTGTTCCTGAATTCAAACCCTTGCTCAGGGTTCCTCCAATGACCTCCTGAGCAAACCCAGATCCACTGTCCTTCCTGCTTTCCACTCTGTCTTCTCGCCCTCCAGGGGTTCCCAATGGCTGTATCCCAGCCATCACCTGTTCTTGTCAGCCTTTGTCTTTCTCTCACAGTCTTGAATGAGGGAGAGGGGTACTGCCTGCAACTCTGACCCTCTCCCTCGTGACTGGTCCCCTTCAGACTGAGCATTCTCCCAAGGGGATGATGGTGTGGCTCTCCTAAGAATCATTCCTCAAGCTAAGAGGCAGGTTGGGAATGCTACTTCTTCTGTCTGCCTGTTGCTGACACCCCATATCCTGTCGGCTGGACATCCTGGGAGTCCCTCCACCAGTCTCTCTTCTCTGGAGGCCTTAGTAATCACGCAAACCTCAAAACTCCACTGCCATTGGGTAGATTCTGAATCATAGCGACCCTAGGTGGGATTTTTTCCCAAGGCTGTAGCTCTGTAAGGGAGCAGTCTCATTTTCCCCCCTCAGGGTAGCTGGTGGGCTTGAACCGATGGTCTTGTAGTCATCAGTCCAATGTTTACCCGACAGCCCACTAAGCCTCCTTTTGATATTACATAGAGAACCTATATGGTTCTTAATGGATTTATTTTGTTCTCTGAGCAATCTGTCTTGCCCTAACTCTGGCCCAACCCAACCCCTCATGGTTCCTGGAATTCCAGCAGTCACCTATTCTCTAAGGACAAGGATGGCCCCTCAAACCATTTTCAGGAGGAGGGAAAATATCTGATGTAGTTTGTGGGACACAAAGTCCCAGGGGCCAGAGATGCAGCTCCCTGTCCAGCCAGAGAGACACACTTTCTCTCTGTTCCAGAGGCCCCGCTAAGCTCCGTGGCTGAAACACTTGGGATTTGAGAAAGAGGAGAACTTTGAGTGAGAAAACAAATCTCTTTGCTTTTTTGAGACTTGGGGGCGAGGGGGTGCATGCCGCTCAGCGGGATGACTTTGCAGGGCCCCTCCATGCAGTAGAGCCTCCCAGGGTGCTTAACCAGACGTGACCGTCAAAACACAGGGAAACGTTAACGTGACGGGCAGTCCAGGCCCAGTCCATTGCAGTACAGTGAATGTTGCAAGGAGACAGCATGTGAAAGGGCGTGGTTTCCCGGTGGATCTAAAAATTGTGATAGCCTCTCATCTATCGAGTGTGCAAATCGGATGATGAAAACACTTGAAATATTGTGAGCATCACCAAATTGGGACACAGCGTGCGCCTATGCCGTTGGGGAAAATGGCGCCGACAGACTCGCTGGACGGGGGGCTGCCGCAACCTTCAATTTGTATCAGAAAACAAACAAACGAAAACAAACGGAAACCAAACAACGCTCCCTGCAAAGCACAAAAAGCAAGTGCAAGGAAACCAGTCCACCCGTATCGAGTGCAATCACACAGAGGGCTGAGCATTGGGACAAACTTTTGCTCGCTCAGAGGGGTTCCCATGTGGCTGGGGCTACCTCTTTGGGGGCAGGATTTGGGGAGGTCTGGAGATCCTAGGACCAGTGGCCAAGCCCTGGACAACCGCAACGCAGAAGTACTGAACTCTTTTAGTGGCTGGAACGATAGTACCGGGAATGCCAGCTGAGTTCTCATTGCTTGGAACCGAGAAACACCGCCTGGTCTCAGAATTTAACCGGCAGAGAAGCAGGTGTTTGGTGGGCAGTGTGTGGACCAGGCTGGGGCCCCTGAGGCTGCCAAGGAGGGCGCTCAGCCCCCCAAGGGCCTAGCCCTGTCCCAGCGGCTCTAGAAGAGCCGACCCCTTCTCCAAGAAAGCAGAGGGATCTCCCCACCCCAGGCAGGCGGCATCGCAGAGCAGCAACTCACAGCAGGCGCGCCGGGGGCAGCCCCTTGGGGTGAGTGTGGGGGAGAGAGGGTCATCCTCACGAGCACGGGCATCTCGTCGTCCGACACCGAGCTGGCTGGCTTGTCTCTGGCCGAGGGGGCAGCGGCGACGCTGTTGGTGAACCCCTGTGAGCCGGGCTTGGGCGGGAGAAGCTTGACAGGGACAGACACGGGCATGACCATAGGCGTGAGGCTTTCCGCCTCGGGAGGGAGCGGCGGAGGCGGCGGCGGCGGAGGCGGCGGTGGAGGCTGAGGCTGGGGCTGGGGCGGCGGGGCCTTCTCTCCTTCCTCCTACACAGACAATAAAGGCTTTGATCCAGGCCCAGGCTGCACTGCAGCTCCCCCAACGGGGAACGGCCTGGGCTATTCCTGAGAGGTTGCAGGACATGGGGCGTGGGTGACAGAAACCCCCTGCTGGGTGGTTTCCTTCCTGCCACCCTGGGGCCCTCAGCTCAAGGGATGCCAGAGGGCAGGGGACAAGGATATCACACTCCACTTCCTACGCTTCCAACACCAAATGCATATTCAAACGTTGATCACCAAAAAGTTTGAGTTGCTGGGACACTTAGAGACAAAGGGACACAGGTTTGAAAGCGGGCCTGCCCCTTGAAAACGCACGCGCGAGCTAGTGCTCACAACAGCAGTGACACGGAGGGGACTCCAAATCCTGGCGACCCCAGGGGTGTCAGAATAGAACCGCTCTCCACCGGTTTGCAGTGGCTAACTTCTGGAAGATCTCCAGGCCTTTCTGCCAAGGCACCCAGGGAGAGACTCGACCCTTGGACCTTTCCGGTTGGCAGTCGGGTGCAGGGACTGTTTGCACTGCCCGGGAACTCCAGCTGCAGAACCCTCAAACTCTAGGGACCTCCCTTCACTCATCTGCCAAGAGCATATTCCACTTTGCATTTTATTCAAGTCAAGGGACCGCTTTGGAACATGCACAGTGAGACCCACGCTCTCCGAGCTGGCAAAGGCAAGGGAAGGAGAAGGAGCGATGTCGGAAAGCGGGGTGTTTGGCTCACGGAGCTGACCTCACCGGCTTAAAAATGAAGAGCGTCCATATCCAGAGAATTCAGAGGGACTCCATGGAATTGTAGTCTCACTGTAAAACCTGCCATGGGGGTGCTCAACTCGTTCATCTCCCTGGGGAATCCGGAGGGCACGGGAGGCTCTTTGGGTGGGCTTCCACTGGGGGGCACCGTTGAACAGTTCCAGGTCCGTGCGCTAGGCCTGGACACTGACCTTCATAAAGAAGACCCCAGTGACCCGCCTTGAGTGCTTCAAGAAGCAGAAGTACAAAAGGATATTGCAGCTATGGGGTGTCTGTCTGTCTTCTCCCAGGTGGTGGGAGGAGGGAAGGCTGGGATCACCCACCCAAACAATCGCTAGCACCTCTGTGCCGGACCCTTGTTCAGAAAGCTGGTGGGTGAAGTGGGGTGCGGTGGGCTTGGCTGGCTCCCAAGGGGCTCTATCTGGACAGCAGCGAAGCAAAGCAAGCGGCACAGAGCTTGGGGAGGGCGGGGGGTGGTTCCCCACTCACCTGTTTGAGGCTGGGGGAGGCCCTCATTCCCCCGTGGGACCGCATGTGGCCGTTCAGGGCGGGCAGGCTCTTGAACTCCTTCAGGCAGATGGAGCATGTCAACTTGCTCTTGGCATCGAACTGCTCCCCGAACACGCCTTTGGCTTGGCCACTGCTCCGGGGTTAGGGCCAAGGAGAGAGCACACGCAGGTGGAGGAAGAGAGAAGAGCAGGTTACCCATAAGACCTCATGCCCCACAGCTGGCAACATTGTATCGGTCCAAGGCTCCCATGCCCCTGGCTCCCCTTGTACACCCTCCTCCAAACACCCGCCAGAGAGTAAACTCAGTTTACAGGTGAAAAGCCAGGGTGAGAAGGGGCTTGTTGAACGTCATGTGAATGGAACAGATCATTTTCCTTCACTGCAGAGCTTAAGTAGGTAGGACTGGTCCCATTCTTAACCCTTTTAGGGCCCATGCAGACCACCTCTTCCAGAGACTTCACTCGGAGACGAGGGGAGGGGGCAGGCAAACCTGGAACCTCCCTGGACACATGGCACACCGCGGGGCGTCAACCAACGTTCTCGGACTGCGCAGTGGACAACGGAGGGAGCGGAGGCTCTGGGGTGACGCCCAGCAGTGGTGCCGATTTCACGTGTAACTTTAAGCCCTCGGGATCTCAGGTCTGGCCCCTGTTATCGTCATCAACATAATAGTGATAGCTATCTATCCCTGAGGGCTCCCTGTGTACCAGGCACATGGTAACCATGCCCACTCTCGCTGGGTTACTGCACAACATGTCCTCTATGGTAAGTGCTCAAACACAGTAGATGCCATTATGATCCTTAGGACTTCCTTTGAGGAACTGAACCTAGACTTTGACCTCAGAAGCGAACTGTGAGAGACGGATGGACGTGTAAGGCCTCCCGGTCTGCTCAAGGGCTCGCCCGCCTCCGCTGATCCATCTCACCTTGACTCGGGGGATCCTGGCTGGGTTCTGCCATCGGGTAGGGGCATCTGGTTGTGAGCCACGCAGGACACCGAGAAAAGAGAAGTGGAAACGCACACATGTACACATTTCTGAAGGGAAGTGTCTTTGAGTTGGGGGCGCCCAGGGGTTGGCACTCCCAAGATCCCTCCCCGGTTGCACTGACCCCACTCCCTCCCTGCCCCACTTCCATGCATGAGACCTCCTTCTCCTACTTGCTCCCTGACTGACTCAAGGGGCCAGAGTGAATGTCAGCCACAAGCCCACTGGGATGCAACACCCCCCTTGCTCCCCCAGCTGGTCCACCCTGTGCAGAGATAGGGCCCACCCCTGAGACGGACCCAGGGAGGGAAATGGGGTGACCTCCTGCTGGGATTCCCCTCCAGCCCTGGGCATTTCATTCTCCTGTTCACAAGGCCTTCCAGTTAGTGCCGGACCTGAGCCGCCCCCCCAAACAGGCTCCAGGAGAAGTCCACCTCAGGCCTTCCACCGCCATCAAAGTCTTGCCGCCACTCCCCCCAGCCAGGTCCTTCTCCAGCTTCTCCCGTTCTCGCTGTACCCCGCTGTGACCCGAGCATAGAACCTGGAACCTACTGCAGCCCCAACAGTGCCCGCCGGCATGTGGAAGGCCGCTCTGGGGTCTGGTATACTTGGGACACACACTCACAAGTTGGGATTTGTGGTCCACAGGAGGGGCCTGGTCTGCAGACCGTGCTCTGGGTGGCTATACTGTGATTAAAAATCCCAAATGAGAAGGTCACCCGCTGGGGTGCCTGTTCTCCAGCGCACCCCCATTGCCACCATTCCCTGCTGGTTCCCATGCCAGGCCATTCTGTATCTGCCTGAGATGCCCGGATCCGTGCACGCAGCTGAAGTTCTCATCTCTGCCACCTCTGTGATCACTTCCTTGTGGCATTTACGGCCACGGTAGCACATGAAAGGGCACAAGACACCCTGCAGCCTTCCTGCCCAGCTCACTTTAGGTAACCCTGAATTCTTGTCGCCGCAGAATCCATCCCCACCTCCCAGCACACTCATTAAGCATTTTGAATGCGCAGAGATGCTGCCACCCTGTAATCTCCCTCCCAGAGTGTGTGTGTGTGTGTGTGTGGGGGGGGGGTTTGCAGAGAGGTGGCATTTCTCTGGGCGCGGGCGGGGTGGGGTGGGGGAGACACTCTCACTGGTGTCCCCAAGCACTTGACTCAAGCCCTTGAGTAGGACACGAATCATTATCCAGGAGATAAAAACAGGGACCAGCTCCTCAGTGAGACTGGATGCTCTGCGGGCAAAGGACTGAGTTCTAATTTCGCATCCCCTGGGCCCAACACGACCTCAGTGGCACGTGAAGCTCCTGAAGGCGTACAGGACCAAAGGGTCAGAGGGTGGATTCAGCACTGCACGCATTCGTCGTCCCCTCCCCGTCCAGCGTCCAGCCCCAGGAGAACGCCCGCTGTGTGAATACCTGCGGCCACAGGGTGCTCGGGGACAGCTGCTGGTGCGGAGGGCCCAAGTTGTTGAGGTGGAGCTCGCTGGGGGACAGGAGCGACCGATGGGGGAGGGCGCTGCTGACGCGGTTCAGGTCTGAGCTCACTGGGTCCCCCATTCCGGTCTCTGGGGGCCCCAGGTCCCCGTGGGAGCTCAGCAGGGCCTGGGCCTGCCTGTCGCTGGCGTATGCCTTTGGCTGACTCTCCTCACGCTGCTGGTGCTGAGGCAGGTGGCCCTGCTGGTAGAGGGGGTGGCTGTAGGACTGCTGTGGCTCCTGATAGTAGTACTGAGGCATGGACCCCAGCTGGATCAGCTGGACAGCGTGCTCCGGGGGATACTGGTGGGGGTCTCTGTGATAAGAAGGGGGCTGCAGGTGTATCTGTTGCTGTTGCTGCTGCTGCTGCTCTTGCAAGTGCTGCATCATGGGTTGGGACTGATAATACTGAGGTATCTGCATTGCACCCTGCCGCTGCTGCAGCTGCAGCTGCTGTGGTTGAGAGTGCGACGGGCGAGGCGGCTGCGGCTGTTGCATTTCTTGCATGGAGATGCGCTGTTGGCCTGCTTGCTGCTGCTGCGGGTAATACTGGTGCTGCTGCATCTGCTGCATGTGCTGCGACAGCATCTGGGGGGCCTGCAGCGGCTGTGCCCCCTGCACTGGCATCTGAGCCAGCGGCTGCTGGTAGTCATAATAAAGGTGCCCTTGGGTAGGGTGCTGCCCAATCTGAAGGGCCGGTTTGGACAGCCCGCCAGTGAAGCCAGGGTGCGGCTGCTGGGGCACCTGCTGGTAGCGGGAAGGGATAGCCGGTGCTGGGGTCTCCAGGGGCTTCTGAGACAGGAGCTGGCGGAGGGCGCTGTCGGGGTTCCCGTCCATCACGGCGGACTGGGCATGCAGGACCTGGGCCATGTTGTTGACCTGAATGCGCAGGTTTTGGTTGGCAAACACCTGGGTGAAAGAATCCAGCTTGTGCAGGACACCGCTGGTGAGCTTCTGGGTCCGGATCTCGCTGGCCTGGGCGTAGGTGTACTGGTAGCCATCGGCGGGCTCCGCCTGGGCCGGTGCTCCCCACGTCATATTCGAGTTGGCCAGGTTGCCGCGTAGCTGGGCATGGTTTCCAGGTGCAGCATGGCCCCCCCACCCTGCCTGCCTGGAGGTATCTACTTGGCCAAGGCTTTTGGAACCCACAGATAAGCCCAGGCCATCCCGAGTGTCTTGAGGGTAGTGGGGGGAGATGGGCGAGGCCTGAGGGGCATCCATCCCGCCCCCCGTGGCTGTATCCCCATAGTTGTGGTTCAGGCCCCCGTGGACGCCCAGTGGGGGTTGTTGGTAGAAGAGGTGCTCGCTGCCGTGGGTCACGTGGTTGGTCTTGTACAGCTGTTGGTCCCCCATGGCGCCTGCCTTGGTCGTGAATGTCCAGCCACAAAACCATAAAAAAAAAAAAAAAGGTAAGCCAAACAAACCGAAAAAGGACCGAAACCCTGAGATGCTGAGTGCAAGAGTCCGCACTACTCCACGGCTGACATGTCCGCGGTCGTGGCTGGAGCCAGGAGTCCTCGCTGGCCTGCCCCGCTCAGGTGCAGAGCAGGGGCTTGTACATCCTCACCCGGGCTGAGGGATGGACCAAACACCACCACGGAGAAGAGAGGCTGCTCAAACCTGCAAGACAAGAATCCAAGGACAGGAAAGGGTTGACATGGGCGTATTCTAACGAGCCATGGCTCCTCCCGGGTCCAGGGACAGGAGCCACCGGGTGCCACACATGGTGCCGCGCTTGGCTGCTAACAAAAAGGCTGGCCGTTCAAATCCACTCAGAAGCACTTTAGCAGAAAGGCTTCTGGGGGAAAACCCAACAAGCCACAGAAAGCCCTGTGGAACCCAGCAGTACTCCAGCACACCTGGGGTGGCCATGCTTCAAGTTGAAGGCAACTAGAGAGCAACTCCTTTATGAAAGTAAACACTAACAAGAAAAGGAACAAATGATCCCGTTGCACGGGCTTCCCCCTTCTTACATTGATCCTGCAGACCCCCGCCCTCATGTGCATGTACATTCTCCTACTCTCCAGCCCTGCTTCCAGTGCTGGTGGGAATGCAAAATGGTACAGCCATTGTGGAAATGGTGTACACACAGGATGAAACACTTATGAATAAACCTAGTCAGAGAAACAAAAGACTTGTACACAGAAACTAAAGAATACTACTACAAGAAAGCAAGAGAGCCCTACATAGATGGAAGAATAGTCCACGTTCATGAATAGGAAGGCTTAACATTGTGAACATGTCAATACTATGCAAACCGATCTACAAATACAATGTGATTCCAATCCAGATTTCAACTCCACCCTTTAAAGACATGGAAAAACCACTTATTAACTTAAATGGAACGGGAGATGCAGGATGAGGAAAGGGTTGAAGGGAGGGGGGAAAGAGGGAGACGAATAGTGATAGAAATATTGCATTGATTAAAGGTTGCGCAGCTGATTATTGTAATTCCTGTCAATAAGCTACATAGGTAAGAAAAATTGCACCGGCAGAAGCTGTAGGCTAGATTACATTTACAATATGTAAAAAAACCTCATAGGACTTGGTTTCTGGGTTTGGAGGTTTAAAGTCTTGGTTTCATGGGGCAGCTCAGTTAATTGGCTTAATGTCACATTTAGAGCTTCTGTCTGACCTCCTAGTTTGTGGCATTGCATCTGGGGTCTTAAACGCTTGCCACGGCACAACAATTGGTGTCTATTTGCCTGGAGCAGCAGAGGCAGGAGGAGAGTCAAGAG